ACTAAAGGTGACATAGATACTTTATTATGGTATAGTATTTAAATATATGCCTGAGAAACACATAATGTTGCCCCTTTAAGAAGGGATTTAAAAAAAGACAGGGATGACGCCTGTCTGATGTCCAAAGGAAGGTCGTTCCATAATTTAGGAGCTGCCACAGAAAAAGCACGGTCACCTCTGTCTCGGATACAGTCGGGAGCAGCTGATCAGCAGACCTGAGGGATCGAGAGGGTTTGTAAGGATGTAGCAGTTTGGACAAATAGGGCGGAGCAAGACCATTAAGAGCTTTAAAAATAAAAAATAAAACTTTCAAATGAATCCTAATATGCATGGAGGCTAAAACAGGAGAAACATGATCAAACTTTCATGCGCCAGTTTAAAGCTGTGCAGTTGCATTGTGTACCCTCTGAAGCTGAAAGATGCAGGAATCACTGAGGCTTTTTCCCTGTGCCATTCCACATTATTACAAATAACTTAATTTCTGGACATTTATGGTTTGATTTCTTTGTATGTATGGATCACTTGGGTTGTTACCGACATCTGGTGGAAATTTCATGTCATTAGCACCTCTAGTAATATGTACTGAGAAAAATGGTGACGTGTTCAATACTTATTTCACCCGCTGTAGATCTCTAAATTGCATAGCAAACACTTCCTCTATATTACAAATCCTGATTCTCAAGAGCTGACTATAAGGAAGACTCTTCTTTAGGCTAGAAGGATGATAATTACTGTAATGTAAAAGTGTGTTTCTATCAGTAGATTTTCTAAAAACAGTAGTCTTAAGATCTGATTTACTAACCAACACATCTAAAAAAAGAGACTGATTCTTTACTATATTCCAAAGAAAATTTAAGAGTAGGCAAACGAGAATCAAGAAGGCATTTAAACTCATAATTCCTCTTCATGTAATTGGGACAGTGTCACAGGAGGGTGACATGCCAGTGAGGATCCATGGCCCTGATGATTCCTGGCAGCATAGACTATGGACGAGGACAAATGTGCTGAGCTCAAACTATTATGTGCTGATCGTACCGAGGCTGCAGAAGGAATCACTTTGATGGGACTTGGCTGACCTTTTAGACAAACGGATCTGCATGATTAACCCCAACCCTAACTGCTAATATGGCACCAGAAACAACAGAACTTTGTATACCTCTTTCACTGTAAGCTATAGGGCTGCTTGTTATGATTAGTAAAATACTGTTGATCATGTTTTAAGAAAACATCACTTCAAATATAACTAGATTATAATTTAAGGATCTTTCACACTGGATGATAASCCTGCTACGCTTTCCGAGAATGCGTTGTACCATTTGCTAGACTAGCATTGATTTTGTGTAATGTACAGAAACTTTTTTTTATATTTTTTTACAACTAATGACTTGTTTAACTGATGACTCATGTTTACTTCTTGTAGATGAATGCTCCAAATGAAAACCAGACGGAAGTGGCGATTTATGCTAAGGTAATAATCTAATCTTTCACTTTTATGCTTTTAAACTTCAAGAAATTCTGTTTTCCAGATGTAAACGTTTTCAATAAAATCAGGTAACACATTATTACTGTTGTTTTAGAGCAATTACATTAAATAGAAAAAATATCCACAACTTCTTTAGATGCATCTAAAGAAATTGTGGATTTTTTTTGACATGTCAAAAAACACCATGTTCTATGTCCCTTTTTATATAGTTTTAAAACATAATTTTAATTTTGATTTTAAATAAAAACACATATGTTTTTAATCTTTATTACTCAATGTTTAAAGTTCTACTAATCCTAAATAGCTCAGGACTCGAGAGGAAAAATACGGTTTGGACAAGGGGGGTCACTAGCTCTTTTAGAGGTCGTCATTGCCCCCCATGGTTCTTCCTTGGCGGCGCCCCTGCTTCCTCAACGCAGGAGAGGAGGAACAAACCAAACCAAGTGGCTTAACTTATTTCAAATATTCTGTACTTTCAATGAAAATCCAACAGGAACAAAAATCATTCCAGTTTTGTCTTAAGGTTTTAATTAATCTTTTATCTTTTTATCAAACAAAACACATAACACCAATTCTCCAGTCTCAAACTAAAGAAACATTGCATTTAACAAGTCGACTGTTCCTGCATCATTTTAAATAYAGCATTAATCACATTTTATAAAGGACACGGGACATAAAAAGTTGTATTGTATACGTTTTATTTCAGCCGTGCCTTCCAATTATCATCGAAGTYGACATGCAGTTCCTCCATGCAGCGAAAGGCATTCAAGTGGGACTGATATTAYTGTGGGTATGTATGACGTGTGTCTTTATTATTGGAAGGACACTTTTACACAAAAACTCATTTTGGTTGTCATTTACAGTCATTAAATTTGGAACTTATCAGTTGTGTTCTTTTAGCCTCATGTACACTTTTCAGAGATGTGAGCTGATGATTCAATATAAATCAGCGCAAAAAAAAAAACATTTAAAAAAATGTTTCTTTTTCATTCCAGGTGTTATCAATAGGATTGTGTGTTGGCGTTCTGTGTCAGATTAATAAGAAGCTGGAAACTCCTACTGTGGTCTACAGTTCAGAAGCAAAAGCAGGAAACTACACTTATCTCACCGAAGCTCCAGACTCCTGTCCAACTTGAGTTTTTATTGTTCTCTCTTTCACATCATAGATAGATAGATAGATAGATAGATAGATAGATAGATAGATAGATAGATA